CCCCGCCTGGCACGATCCGCCCTCCCAGTTTTACACTTCTTGACAGTGTAGTTGACCCTTGAAAATTGTGCCAGTTCTTTCACCACCCCAGGGCACAACCTCATACAACCCCAAAGGAAAAGAAAACCAGATAGACACCACAGACGGTAGAAGTTCATGGTATTTATTCCCGACCTACACCCACAGCAGGCTTTCCTGCACCATGAATCTCAGTGTCAGTAGAAGGATATTTCTATTCAGATTCCTCAGGTAGAAGTTAGGATTCTGTCCTTACATGACGCTACTGTTTGATATTTTAGATAAATATTCTTCCAACTTGGGGCTCTAAAATTGGCACCTAAAATTACATCTTTATCCATTCATCGTTATTGATTAAGTATGGCCACAATGAGGAAACATTCCTGATATTTAAAGGTTTAAAAACTACGGTTCCTCTCCTTTTAATAACCATTTTACAGGAAATACAAAGAGGAACAAAGTGACCCTGGGGGATACAACAGGTAACTTCTAACAGGAAACTACAGAACTCCAGGTCCTCAACAAAAGTGAGCGCTGAGGGGAAATGTATGGATTTTAAGACAAGATGCATGAACCAACCACAACTGATCATAACTGGACCCAGATACAAGTTATGGAAAATTTTGTAGGATATCTGGGTTAAGTGAACATATACTGGATATATCAAGGAACTGGCCATGAGTTGATCATTGCTGAAGCTTGGTGATGGGACATGGGGATTCATTACATTATTCTATTTGTTTTAAATTTTCTGTTAATAGATTCGAAGTTTAAAAAAAAATTAAACAAGAGAAAACTAGAAAGGGCAAATCTGCTCTTTTACCTGCCCCAGCATGCTGGCAAGATATGGGACATTCCCCTAAAGGACTAGCTCACCACATTTTTCTTTGCAGGGGTGGAGGTATCCAGAGGAATTTTCTAAGAGACATGGAGAAAATAAAATCTTTCCTTTCCTCACCCACCAAGATTCAGAAAGCTTGGCTAAATAGTAAAAGGATGGAATAAGAGGTCAGTTTCTCAGGATGGCTATAGACCAAATGAATCTACTACTCTTGGGGAACTGGGGGTCAGGTGCTTACTCTTGAGCCCTTTGCTTCTTAGAGAAGCCAGGAGACATGGACCAACACCAAATAAGATAAGGGGTTGGAAGGCCTGCAGGGGACTCATAATTGTAACAAGGAAAGAACCTTGAGAGTATTCAGAATAGAAAATTCTACTCAAAACAGGCAGAATAAGAAAATGTGGGGCTGGGGTTGTGGCTCAGTGGTAGAGCAATTGCCTAGCATGCTTGAGACACTAGGTTTGATCCTTGGCACCACATAAAAATAAAATAAAAAGGTTATTGACTCCACCTACAACTAAAAAATATTAAAAAAAAAATATGTGGGAAGTCCTACTAGTTTCCCTCCCCCTGTAGCTTCCACATCAACACTTAGCCAACAACTCCGCTCTACAGAGTTTATTGGGTTTATAACTGGACGAAGTCACACTTGTACAAAATGAAGCTCACACTATCCCAAAGCAGAACAGGGATTGAGGATTAGGGATCCGTTACTGGCCTTTGGGGGAGCTCTGAGGTGAGGGGCAGCCAACCCTCCCACTCCAGAGGTGTGGCCACGGGGGTGGGGAGGAAGGGGACCCACCTGGCTTTGGTCACAGAACTCAGCCTGGCACTAGGCCAGGATACACAGATGAATTAGGAAGAGCAGGAGTCCCAGAAACCACCCTGCCCAGGGAGCCCAGGGACTGCTCCACCAGTCCCACTTGCGATGCAGTTGGTTCAGACCTAGACTCAGGGGCTGGTGCAAAGGGAAGGCAGCAAAGCAGAAGGGAGGAGACACTGATGTGTGGTGGCTGGGGGCGCCTGGACCTGCAGAAGAGGGTGGGTAGGAAGGTGGGCTAGCTGCCACTGGACAGCTAGCAGCGGGTTTCATAAATGCCGCTGCGGCCAATGTACCGCACCCATTTGATGACATCATGGTCGCTGTAGTTCAGCTTCGGTTCAAACACCTTCAAGTAGCGCACCTTGAGGCCAGAGGGCGCAAATGGCACCTGCGCAGGGAATAGTTCCAGTTAGGACTGTGGTCTTCCTCTCATAGCATTTCTCTGAAAAGTTCAGTAGCTATGCCCTACCTCATTTCTACTATAGATGTTTGAATGGCCGGGGTCCTGAAAGAATATAGGGGTGGTGGGGAGCCCTCTAAGTAACATTGCTAAAGAAGAGAGCATATCCAAGAGTAACTAGCAATAATTTTGGGTGTTAAGTCAAGTGCTACCTGAGATAACTTGAATAAATTCCTTTAATTAGGAGGAGGCAGCAGCCAGAGAACTGCATTAGAACATACTTATTCTGCTCAATATTATGTACTTGAAAAGTAAGGTGGAGAAAATTATATGTCTAACACACGCAGAGTCTGCTCGTTGTCCTGTCTGTAAGGAAACTTGCTGCCTTACTTGAATTCACATTTTTTTAAAAAAATTTAATTTAAACAGGGGGGACTGACCACTGAGATATATATATATATATATCTAGTTTCTTTTACTTTTTAATTTTGAAACAGTGTGTTTAAGTTGCTGAGGTTGGCTTTGAACTTGGGAATCCTTCTGCCCTCAGCCTTCAGAATCACTGGGGTTACAGGCAGGTACCACAGCATCCACTTCTTACCTGGCATTTAAACAATTGAAACTTTTTCGCAACACTAAGAGAAATCAAAATATTTTTCTCAGGGGCCGGGATTGTAGTTCAGTGGTAAAGTGCTAGCCTAGCATGTGTGAGGCACTGAGTTCAATCCTCAGCACCACATAAAAATAAAGGTATTATGTCCATCTACAATTAAAAATAAATAAATAAATAATTTTCCCCCCCTCAGTGTGAATAGCAATTTCTACTAAGATTCTTAAAGGGAGAAGAAATGGTCTATGAGTTAAAGTCACTTCTTCCCTCTAGGTCTGTTTTCTCATCCCTAAAGTACAGAGGTTGATCTGAATCATCTTTCTTATCTTTCCCAGCATATCCCACCATGGTGCTAGGCCCCTTCTCTGCCATACCTCAAAGTTCATGGAAATAGGGGGTCGAGCCCATTTCTTCTTGTCGTTGGTGGGCAGAAGCTCAATCTCTGCACTGATCTGCGATTCCTTCATGCCTGCCATGCGCTTGATCCTGGGAAAAAAGGAGCAATGGGTAGCAAGTACCCATGATAGCTTGGAGGCGTTTCAAAGGGGGATTGCCATTTCAAACTGGGTGAGAGCCAGGAGCTTATGGGAGGTGCCAGGACAAGGAAAAGTAGTCAGGACCCTGAAAACCACTTGCTGTGGAACCTTGGGTATGTTATTCCTTTAGCACTCCAGGTTGCACTTTCTGCTTAGACAAATGGGCAAATTATCCCTTGCCCTGTCTGTCTGTTTTACAGACATATTACTAGGGCAACTGAGAAATGCTAAAGCCTTTTGGAAAAATAGATGTAAAAAGAACCCAAGTGTAGGCAGACACACAAGCCGAAGAGCTAACAGCACAAGCAGAGGCTCCCAGAGAAACAGGCACCATTTTTCTTCCCGCTCCACAATCCACAATGGATAGGACAAAAGGTGAAACTTAAGAAGGTACATTATAGCATCTAGAGAGCAGCTGTGTCCTCCTGAAAGAAACACTCACTTCCACACAATGGCGTTCTCACTGGCCTTGTACTTGGCCTTCCCCTTCATGCAGATCACCTGCACCCCACTCGTGTTCAGGGGGGTTGGAATCCTCACCTAGAAGTGACACACCCGTCAAGCTCTGTCAAGCCCTGACATATACTACCTTTATTTCTGGAGACAAATTCTTCCTCCTCCCCAAGCCCCTTGTCTTCACCTCAATCTTCTGGGCCAGCAGTGACGGCTTAAAGTTGGACTTGATGACCACCTTGACCTCCAATTTTGTGCGTCCTACTTCCCGCACAAGGGGGATCACCCGGAAAGGAAGGATGATGTCCTTGGTGGTGCGATACCTTTAGGGTTGGAAAGTGAGATTGGCAATGAAAGCCTGTTCCACTCCTTCCCCCACCTCCAGCCAGCAATACCCGCTGCCTCCTCACTGCCCAATGGCACCTCATAAGCTCAAATTCTCCATCTGGTGGAATGAAGCTGATGCTGCGTTCAGAGTCAAACTTGCTGAGTCGCACACACTGGTGGAAGGTACAGTCATCAATGGCAATTGATTGCTTTCCGCTACAAGCAAAAGAGCTCTCATTGGTATAGGAGAAGTGGCAGGTGTCAGGCTGGGAAATCTTACTACTCCAGACTGACACCACAATCTCAGGACACAGTTTTCTGACTCAGGGGTCCCTGTCCCAGAGTTTGGGAAGAGAGGGAGCTTTGCAAACTCATCATCTCTAGAGCCCTGTTGCTTGGGACATGGGTGTTTCTGGCACACTGGGCAACAGCTGTCAGTATGCATCAATGGGAACTTGGTCAGCATGCATCAAGGGGCCAAACAAGGAGTCTGCTCTCTAAGGAGAGTAGGCTAATGGCAACCCCTCGTTTCTTATTGCTGATGTCAAGAGCTATCAGCTAAGTATACACTTAAGAGAGTTTGCAATTATAGCAGAAATGAAGTCCAGAAGGAAGTTGGTCCACCAAGCCCCAGTGAACCCTTCAAAGCCCACTGCCCTTTCCCTCCAGTTTCCCTGACTCAGGCACCTCTTGCTTGTTTCATCGGCTGTGCCTTTGCCCTGTTTTTCAATGACAATCTTGTCATTCATCCCAAACTTGCATTCAGGCATGCCACTCAGGTAGCTCTTCATTACCACCCGGCCTGATACATGGGCACTCAGCACCTGCCCTGGTGACAGAACAGATAAACGGGAACAGCTGAGTCAAGCAGGCAAGCTCAGAGATCCTGCCCTGGCCTCCCTCGGCTTCATCATGAGAGGGCCCTCACCCTGTGGAGACATGAGCAGGTTCACACTCTCTAGAACATCCAGGAAGAGTTCATTCCGGCGATACTTGATGCCCTCCCGCCGCCAGCCGATCTGCCCAGTCACCTGGCTGGTGATCTGGGACTGCTCTTCTTTTGTCTACATAGAGGTAAAGACAAACAGCAATGGCTTTGCTCCTCTCTCTTTTCAATCATTCTATCTCTTCCCACTTCACCCTCATCCCACCTCCCTTCTAGGCCTCTCCCTGTAACCCATTCTTTCCCACAGGTCCCCATGGGGCAGGGCCCAGAGAAAACAGAGTAAAGCCCAAGGGCAGAAGCCAAGGAACAACTTACCTGATGCTGGAGGACACAGGGCCAAAAAAGGTTCCCACAGGAAGCCATAGGGGAGACAGAAAAAGAGAGAAGGCTATGAGGTTTGGATCCTATAGGAGGGCCCAAGTGCTCTTCTCCTGAAGAATACCAGGCCTCCAGAACAACCTTCACTCCCCTGTCCCCAGCCCAAAGGAACTGCTTGATCTGTATTCTTGGTAAGAGATGCTGAATTGGCTGCCCCTGGGGTGGAACGACCACACAAGGCAAAAACAGGCTTGCTGTCATTGCAAGAGGCTCAGGCCAGGACTTCCTGTCTAGGGCGGGCTCATGAGTCAGCTTGGACAAGGCTAGGCCAGCTGGGCAGAAGGGAGGTTGGGCTCCACCCGGCCTATGGTCTGTACAATGCAAGTACCTGACTCTTGATGCCCTGCTGTGTGATGAAGGTTTTCAGTGCGCCTGTCTCTGAGTTCTGTGGGTAGCCAAAGTCCAGAATCTCTGCAAAAGGAAGGGAATTATTAGCCCCCGGACAAACCTATAGTCACTTTCATTCAAGTTTTCCTGACCTGGGCATGTCTGGTTAGCACAGCTCCCTAAGACTATGTGGAATCATTGCACAAAGTATTCCACCTTTGTAGCATTTACTCTGTGATTTATAATTCATAAAAAAATCAAATAAGGGGCTGGGGATGTGGCTCAAGCGGTAGCGCGCTTGCCTGGCATGCCTGGGGTGCTGGGTTGGATCCTCAGCACCACATAAAAATCAAATAAAGATATTGTGTCTACCGAAAACTAAAAATAAATATAAAAAAGGGCTGGGAGGAAGTACCGAGGATGTAGCTTAGTGATAAAGCATTTGCCCAGCATATACCAGGCCCTGTTCAATACCTAGTAATATAAACAAACAAACAAATGAACTAGGGGTATAGCTTAGTAATAGAGTGCTCCTCAGTTCAACCCCCAGTATCACCACAAAAAAAAAATAAATAAATAAAATTAATAAAACCCCCCATTTTTTTTCAAACAGAGAAGACAGAAAAAAGTCAGTGGGTCAGAAGTGAAGAAACTCTGTACCCCTATTTTTTCCTAGAAAACAGATGCTGAGAAGGTGGAAAAACTAACCACCATACCCTACAGGTGAACAAGGAAACAAAGGGCACTCCATGAGGCTTGTAAAATCTCACCCTCCCACATGCTCCAAAGTAGCTGTTGAGATGGAAAGCTGCGACAAGAATGAACTAAGGCTCAAGTCACAAAGAAGAGAGGATGAATTTTGGAGGCTCAGCCACCAAACCGGAGTCAGGCTCTTTAGTCCTATGAAAACCAAAACTTCCCTGCCCCCACCTGCTGGCCTATTTCTGTGTTCTACTTCAGAGCAGTCTTTAAGTCTGGATTTGAACTGGCTTCTCAAGGATAGAGAGATCCTAGCCTGAGAGATCAGGTATGCAGGAAACAAAGTTTAGAGTACACTTGGGCTTCAGATCTGCTCCAGTCTCTAGGTCATACCCAATTAGGTTCATTCCCACAAGGCCCACCACTCCCCCAGCCTTACCATCCAGCAGCTCATATATGAGCACAAAATTGTTCTTGATGTTTTCCTCACTGATCTTGCCAAAGTAAGCGGCCATTACGTCACACATCTTATAGAGGAATTCGAAGACCATGGCAGCATTGACATTTTGCTTGGTGACAGCTGCCAGCCAGATGTTGGACCGCTTAACATGGAAGAAGCTGGTGCGAGCGATGTTGGTGACAGGGCTGCGTACCTGCTGCCGTGCATGGATAACATTGACTCGAAAGGCATCCACTGCATTTCTCCTAAGGGAAAAGGGTGCATAGAGCCTGCTCAGCACCCAGGAAAACCCCACCCCATGGGAGTCAACCACAGCTGTTAAAAGCCCCACCCTCCACACTGCTGAAATATGACATGTATTCTAAAGCCAACGTCTAAACCATTAGGGTGGTTCCCTTCTTATGGCTTCCAGTGGGGCCATTGCAAGAGGGTCTGGATTAGGCTAGTATCTGATAGCCATGAGAAAGAGGGAAGTCAAGTGGCAATGGCAGAAAGACAGATGTAATATTAATAAAGTGAGGTTCCTCAAGTTTAGAGAAGTATGTTTCTAACTCCCAGGCCTGGCCCCAATTTCCCACCTATACTTAGCTACCACCTCTCTAGCACCTTCCCAGTAAGCTGCATGCCCAGGAGAGAAAAAGACCCTGTTTCATTTCCACTACTGAGCCCACTGATGGAGAAGGTAGACTCCTCCAAGAAGTTGGACAAAGCCAGTTTGACTTCAGAGAAGGCTTTTATCTACTGGGTAAGAAGTATCAAGGAGCAATGAAGCTATGCCACTCATTCTTGTCCAGTATACAATTCCAGAGCAAGCTTAACTTGCTGTATGAATAAAAAACGATGAAGGAAAAAAAAATGATGGGGGGTTAGGGCCCCCCACCCACCTGTACCTGGGCAGCAGCTTGATATGCCGCTTACCTATTGCTACGGCAGCCAATGAGATGGGATGAGAGAAATGACGCCAGCAAGAAGAGGAGAGTGACAGCAACGAGAGAGAGGGTTAGACACATGACACACCAGGGAGGGCAGCACACACCATGAGGTAGAAGCAGACAAGACAAGCAAGGGTAAAGAGCATAGCAGGGCATGCAAGGTGGCATGTAACCTGGCCTTGACTTAATCGTGTAGCTCAGCCATACCACCAAACCAATAGAGCCACAAAGGCCGGGCCAAGCCAGCCCATCAGCTAGGGAGCCAAGATGCTGGGGTACTGCAATAGGCCTGTGCTGTGACTATTTATCTCAAGCTCTTTGAGGAAGAAAAACAGGTAGCAGAAACCAGAAGAACCCAATCTCATTAGAGCTGCTGAGGCTATGTAGTTCTCAGTCAGAAAGAAGACATGCAGGGTGGGGCAAAATGAGAAATAAGGCTATGGCTCCTTCTTAAGGTCTGAGGGAACCAGAACATGGCACTGTCCTAGAAGCATGGCCTCCCTGTCCCTTCTTCAGTGACCCAGAGCGCGCCTTGAGCATGCTTACAACCTCTCCCAGGAATGACCCAGAGGAAGTGAAAACAGCTGAGTCAGCAGCCCAATTCCTCCTGAGAAAGGGAGTGGGAAAGGATTGCCTGGAGAGACTTTTAAGAGAATCCAATGAAGGATCTCAATGTGAAAAGGGCTTTAAGAACAAGATTTAGATTAGCACCTCAAGCCTGGCACTAACTCCATTCACTGGAGATATCTCCCTATTCCTAAAAGGAGGAATTGACCTGTCTAGGTAAAAACACTTATCTCCAGCAACCAGAACTGTAACTAAGGAACAATGGGAGCAGGAAGGGCAGGAGTTCCTTAAAGATGCAGGGCCCCCTTCATTCCACCGGTCTTGCCTAGCATCCAGAAAACAGGCTGCTAGGCCAATACCACCAGACCTAATAGGAACCAGGCTATATCAGCTGAGCTTCCAGGATGCAGCAAGGGGTGGGGGTGGGGGCCCAAGTCAAACCTGTTGGGATAAGACCTGGTTCTGCATGCTGGGGCTGAGAGGGTGGGGTAGGGGGGACATAGCTGGCTTAGCCAGGGGACTCACCCGATGTCATCTCGGTAGACCCGGGAGATGAGCACCTCCCCCTTGTGATTATAGATGAATAAGCCTCCAATCATGGCGGCAGCTCAGTCTCCTCGGCCCATCGCTCTGAGAACTGACCTAAGGACAGGTGGGGGTGGGGTAAGGGAAGTCTTCAGAACCCTTGCAAATGTCCACTGTGGGGCTGAACAGGTCACTGGCTCGCTTTTTCCCTGACTCAACCCTCTACTAAGTGACCCTGCAGCCCTCTCAGGCAAGCCCCTCCCCTCAGCTAAGCTCCAGTTCCTGTTTATTCCACAACAGGATGGAAGAAACAGACAAGGGCTCAGGATTCTAAGGCCATCTTGACCCTCCCTTTTCTGGAGTCACCCCCACCCTCTCTTCACAGCGCTGAGCTCACCCCCACCCTCTCTCCACAGCGCTGAGCTCAGCAAGGATCCTTTTCAGCCCCCTTCTGTGCAGACTCAGGCTCCAGCCAGTGAGTCACCGAGAAGGCCTGCCTGCGGCTGCAGGAATGGCGGTAGGAATTACTCCAGCTGGCTCAGGCCTGGTGCCCCCAGGCACAACCTTTAGAGCACCAAGTCTCTCAGACTCCATTACCCTTCTAAGAAGGCAGCAGAGCCTGAACCTCCAGAGAAGTCTACACATTCCAGGAAAGGGTGTGGGGGTGGGGGTGGGGAAAGAAGGGAGGCCTTAGGCTCTGATGAGAACCAGGAGTGTGACCAAAGCAGGCACATCTCTCCAGGCAGTCAGATAAGCAGGCAAAGAAGCAGAGGGAAAAGGTCCCAGCACTAGCAAACCACCTTCAGTGACCCAGGCTGCTTATTATAGTGCCCAGAACCATCCTCCTGCTTTGGGAAAAGTTCCAGAATTCAATAAAAATGAGGGTGTGTGTGTGTGTGTGTGTGTGTGTGTGTGTATGCAGATTCATAAATTGATCCTTCTAGCTGAAGTTGTGATTCTAAACCTACCAAGCACTTTTGGCTGAGTGCTTATAAGCAAGGGGCAGGATATCAGAATTATTATACAAATATATATATACAAATTATTTGGGTCAAACTAATTTAGACTGAGAAAAGGGGTTAATTTGGTTCTAGATTTCCTGGATTAGCCCTGGTATTAATTTCACAGGGGGAAGCTTAGCAGACTTTTCTAAAACTGGAAAATAAAGCCTTTTACTGTGGCTGTCACCATCACCCAGACTAGTGAGAAATCTCTCAAGTGATGAAAACATTTCCATCCCTGAGTTCTAAAGAAGGTGAGAGAGGAAATGCAAAATGCAGGTAAAGCCCTGGGCAAAGAACCAAGTCTAAAGGTATCAAGTGGTAGGAAGTTCTGGGCACTGGAGAACTAGAGGTGGGGCTCTGGACAGGAACATAATATTGAGTTAAGAGACTCGGCAGCAGTATACTCGGGTGAATCCCACAGTTGCAAACAGAGCTGGTGGGGCCCCTAAGGATTGCGATACGGCAAAGGTCAGGGCTTTGAAGAGGAAAAAACAGCAAGGAGAAGTTGACAGTGGCAAATACAGGAAAACTGGAGAGACTGGCCCACTTTGAGCTTTAGGAACAGAAACATGAGCTGATGGTGGGCTTTTCGCTAGGGAAAAAGACATCGTGGAAAGAGATGGTGCCACGGGGTGCGGGGGCTGTCACAAGCCTGAGGAAAAAGAGCCGCGGGGTGTCACTGTGTGAGACCTGTCACCGTCCAAAGAGGCATTACAAAGAAGTGTCACTGTCTTGGGAGACGGAGAAATTGTCCCTGCGCCGAGGACAGGTGTACGCTTTTTCTTTTTTTGGGGGGGGGTCACCATCCTACTCAGGGGGTGCCGCGTGGCGTCCCTGCTCTGGGAGGATTCCGGTCCGTCTCCCTTTCACTAGAGGCGCCGGATGGATCAGGAGGAGGGCGCCGCTCCCCGCCAGTCCTGCAACCGCACCCCAAGCACCCCCGCCCCGCCGTCAGCTCCCTCCCGGGTCTGAAGGCTGAGGCCACTCCCGGGTATGGGCAGCTTTTCACTTAGCGCAGTGCAGGGAAGGGCAAGGCTGAGCAGCGGGACAGGCAACCCGCGGAATTCTCCCCACCCAGTGAGGCCAAATCCCCAGCTCACCTGGCGTCTGCGGCCCCCCGCTCGGCCGGCCCAGCCACTCTCCGGATCCCAAGATGTCCGCCCGCCCCCCTGCTCGCCTGCCCGCTGCCTCGGCTTTCACCGCAGTGCTGCGGCCCCGCCCCAGCCCCAGCTGCGCCTGCGTGCCCGCCTCCCGCGCAGACTACAAATCCCGTCAGGCCCCTCGGCCTTCGCGTGGACAGCTCCGAGCGCCCCAGGCTAGGAAAACTACAACTACCGACTGCCTTTGAGAGAACGCCCCCGCCTTCGGGGATTAGGCAGGCACTACCCAGAATACACAGTCCAACACACGGCGCTCCTCCCACTCTGTTTTCTTACTGAGCATCCCGGGAAGTGTAGTCTTTGCAGTTTCTACTGTTCCTATTTCGATATTTCCGGAGAGCCTCAGAGGATTAGTGCCGTTTGCTGAAGCCTGTCTGTTAATTTCGAATTGCTGTAGGGCCCTTTCTGTTTCCAGAGTCCAAGGACTAACTGTCTTCACTTTACACACAAACGCAAAACTCGACAGAAGTGTCAGTGCTGAATTTACTGCTTTTTAATACCACCTGTGATTCTCCCATACTTTTCTCTTACTTGTTCCTTTTCCTGGGGATCAAAACTCAAAAAAGGGGAACGGGAGAGAGGAGGCAAATTTTGGAAGAAACTAGGAAGAAAACTTTAATGTGTCAGTGCCCTCCTCAGCTATGCCTGTGTGTGTACCTTCTAGTGGCAGGCAACTCTTTTATATATATATAAATTTATTTTAGTTGGACACAATACATTTATTTTAATTTATTTTTATGTGGTGCTGAGGATGGAACCCAAGGCCTTGTACATGCAAGGCGAGCGCTCTACCGCTGAATCATAATCTCAGCCCCAGGCAACTGGGGCTTAAAATCACAGGTAACTTGTACTTGTTGGACATGGGATTCAAAATTCCCTGATGAACAGAATTAATCTTCGCATCTGACCTGAGAGAAGACAGTCAACCATGGAATCTGAAATACCTGCCTGGATCTGAAGAAAATCTGTTTGCCTTTCTCTCTCTCCTATCTGAATTATAATCCCCCCCCCCCACACACACACACACGATAGCTTTTCTTCACTCTTTTAAGGACCCAGCTTCTTTCATGGGCTTTAGTGGTAGTGGGCGGAGTCAGTTCTAAATCAGGGTGGGGGTGTTGGGTGCTTCTGGATGTTACAAGATGGATTCCTGACCACTTTGCTATAAATGTCATAACTCAGTAATACAGCTTGGGAAGCACATAAGTGTTGAAAAAACACTCCCTTTGAAAATATCCCTGATGGCTGGAGGCTTCTAGGATGTTTTGAATGATGAACTTAATGGCCTTGTCCTGAGCACACACTGGGCACAGTTCCTGCAGCAAATAGGCCATACATGGCTGCAGCCCTTTTTGGCATGACCATTATTCTTTTTTTGTCATCTTGGAATTGAGGACCAGAGATAGCTCTTCTGTTTTGGTAGACAGAGACAGCCTGCTGCCTTCTATAGGCAGGCTTGAAACTGTCATGGCAGGAAGGAAGGGCAAAAAGGAAAAAGGGGCAAAACTGATTGTGAACCTTACTGTCCCTAGCAGCTTTCTGCCAGAAGTCAGGATATAGCGGAATGAAGATCTGGCCTCTCTCAAACTGTGGTCACATCCTGATTCCATTCAGTGACAGAAAACAGGCATTTCTAATCCTTTAACCAGCAGCATTCAAGGCTTCACTTCTTCCTCTGCCAGAATTTTATCTTCCAAACATACTGTAAATACCTGCCAATTTTGAGTAAGTAATAATGATCATGATAATAATAATAATGGTTACCATTTATTGAGCACCTACTCTATCATGTGCCAGGCACTGTGCTAGGCACTTTTCGTACAATTTCTAATTTAAATCCTCACAACAACCCTGTGAGGTAGGTATTATTATCATCATTTTACATACGAGAGAACTGAGGCTCAGAGAGGTTAAATAACTCTCCTATCACGCAACCAAAAGGAAATAGAGCTGGAATTCAAACCCAGAACAATATGACTCCAAATCCCAGGCTCTGGTAAATTAGAGGTAAAGGGGAAAGAAAGGGCCAAATTCAAGAAAGATTGTTGGAGTGGAAAAGATGTGATATGCTGACTGGTAAGATACAAAAAAGAATTTAAGCCTGTAAATGTTTCTGACTGGTGTGCCTGTGTAGATTGTGATGGTCACCAGGACTGGAATTCAAAAGGAACACACTTGGTTGGGGACATGACTTGAGTCCATATAGACATGTCCGTGGTGATGTTCAGTGGTTAATAAAAATACAGATCTGAAGATTGAGGGAATTTGGGGTTATATATTTGGGAATCACCAGCATATCAGCAGCAATTGAGGACATCAGGATCGATGAGACCATTTTGGGAAAAAATACAGAAGAAAGAGAAGTGGACCAAAGAAGGAACAATGTAAGAATTGACACTGAAGGTATAGTATAGTGGAGGTGTTCTCAACAAAGCAAGACGAGGCAGAGTTATAGGAGTACAGGAGATGGCCCTGTAGTGGTGGCTAGAAGAAGCCACAGCCTGGTTGGGAGTAAACTCGAAGCTTCCAGAAGGCAAGCAAGATTGAGTCACGTGTCCAACACAGCACTTTTTTCACTAAAACCCCAGAAGTATTTGTTGTATGAAAGAATGTAAAAATGCCCCTACTTTGGTTTGCCCTAAAACCTGGGCTAAGGATTTCATATTACTCTTGACACCCTGTCCCTAAAAATATGGGAGCCTGGGCAAGTCAGGAGAATTTAAAGCAGAGGCTAGAAGAGAAAGTTGTGATTTGTTTAAAGTGGAGAATAAAGTTAAAAAAAAAAAAAAAAAAACTGGAACTCTGTTTGAAAGTCCTGGAAGCCCTCTTGCCAAACTCCCAACTGGCCTATGGGTTCCTGTCCTTGTTCTGGAGTGTCACGGTGTATGCAAACTGGGAAGTGGGTGTGTATGTGTATGTGTGTGTGTGTGTGTGTGTGTGTGTGTGTGTGCGTGTGTTGGGGTATGTGTGAGATGGCCTGTCAGTTACCTGGAGAGTTCTCTGTTGAGCCCAGCCTGAGTCTCAGCTTATAGGCTTATCCAGGTAGGAAAATGTTGGGAATATGTGGCTTGAGGGCTATGAGTAAAGGGAGAGGAAAGTCAGGGGACCAGCCCCACTATCTAGGAAAGGACTTGGAGAGAGGGTCCAGCCCTCTGGGCAGGGTCCAGCCCTGAGGCTTAAGTGAACTTGCATAGGCACCTGTGTGTATTTGTATATGTATGTGTGTGTGTGTGTGTGTGTGTGTGTGTGTGAGTGAGAGAGAGAGGGTGGGTAGGGGAGAGATATAGAGGGGAAAAATATTCTATGGAAAAGAGAACAGGGTCCTTGTGCATGGGTAAGGCTGAGGACCTTCCCAGAAGCCTAGAAATACTGAAGTGTGGGTGTAGGGGCTAGACATCCTTGGGAAGCCCCGAGGGGCTCCTGAAGCAGGGTTCCTGGTCTCCTCGGAGGCTGGGCCTCCCCTTGCTGGGGGGTTCACAGAAAGTCAAACAGCCCGAAATTCTTGGCTGCTCCAGGCCAAGGGAAAATTGGGGGAGGAAAAAAGAAAGAAAAGAAATGTTTCAGCCAGGAGATGAGATGAGCCTGCCAGTTAGTAGGGTTAGGGTCTGATGGAACCAGCACACAGGTCAGGCATAGGAGCAAGGGATCCAGCAGAGATGCTCTCTGGAAGCCACTAGCTGCTCCAGCACCTGAGGGGGCCTTCTGACTTCTGATTAGGAATGGGTATAGGCAGGGGTAAACAGCATGAATAGCTACTGAAGGGTGACTATAGCTCAGGTGCAGGACTGAGGCAGCAGGCAGGAGAGAGTTAGGTAAGGCAGATGAAGTGACTTTTTTGGTGTCAGTACTGTGGGGCAAAATCAAGAGATTTGCACACATGCTTGAGAGGGTGGACTTAATATCAGGATGGTGTAGCTGAATGAATGAAGGGGGAACAAAGGAAGAAGGGGGTACCCTCCAAGGACACCACTGGGGTCAGCTCCTAAACTGTGTGAGGATGGGGCAGAGGGAAGTAAGCACCAGCAAGTGAGGACTCGGGGACATGAAGGATCCTGGGAAGTCCCCCTAAGGTTAGTGAGCAGAGGGAACAAGCTAGGCCAGAGCCGGGTTAGGGAATGCAGAGCTGACTGGTAGATACACCCTGCCCTGGCTGCGCCCAGCGAGCAGTTAGCTAGCGCACCTGGATTTAGTTGCATTTATTTCCCTTTCAGGTACCAGACAAAGTAAAAAAGACGGACGGACAGTTGGAGAGAGGGACGGGGTGCGGGGTGGGATGGCAGTGGGGGAGAGGCCCTGCTCACATCACATCCACAAAGAACTCACTGGGGTTTCCCATGGCCATGCGGAAGGACTGTCTGCTGGCGGTCAGTTCTGGGGGCACCGAGGCCAGGTCGCGGCCGGGAGGGGCTCCTGGGGGCCCCATGGCTGCAGGCGGCGGGGGCATCATCAGCATTGGGGGGCCGTAGAGAGGGGGCACTCCTGGAGGGCCATAGCTTGGGTGCGTGTGGTGGCTGCGCAGGCTGCTGGCCAGTGAATGGTGGCTGCGGTGGCTATGCTCGCTGGCCGCGGGCCCTGAGCGCTCACTGGGTGCCCGCTCTCGTGGCCCCCGCAGGCTGCTGCGTGTCGTGTGGTCCGACTCACTGCCGCTGCCGCCGGACTTGGAGTCTCCAGCCTTTGGGTCCTTCTCCTTCCGACGATCGCTACCACTACGGTTTGAGCCACTGCTCCGACTGCCTGTGGAGGATAAGCAGGGCCCGGGGTGGGGAGCACTCAGAGCTGACACCCTGGACTCACCTGTAGCTCCCTCCATGGTTCCCTCCGCCGTAATTACCTTCACTGTGTTGACTGCTGGCGCTGCCCCCACCATAGCTGTAGCCTAGCTCCGGGAAGCCTGGGTGGGGGTTGTAGGGGTGTGGGGGTGGTGGGTACTGGTAAGGGAAAGCCATAGGCCAAGGGGCAGCCCCCGGGTGTGGCAAAGGGGCCAGCGTATCTTGGTCAGAGGCACCGCTGGAACCGTCGTGGTCGTGGAGGGACAGGTTGGCCATGTCTGTGGAGGAAAGGCTGGGTAAGCCGAGTCTATTCCCTGTCCCCTGGACTCCTTGATCAGGAGAGGGGTTCCTGGCCTAGGTCAGGTGGTAGGCTACACTGGCAGTTTCTGGTCAGAATGGGAGTAGGTATGGCACAAGCCAGAGAGCTCACCCTTTCTGCACAACTCTTGGCCTTTATCTCAACAGCCCAGGAGACCCTCCTCAGGAAACCCAAGTCATCATTTAAGATTCTGGGTCAATCCCAATATCCAACTCCCAGAATCTTGGAGGACCCTTCTAAATTTGTAGTGTTCTCTCCTTCCTTGTCAGTGGACTGAAAGAAGGGATAAGACTGCTATTCAGCCTTTTTCTCTTTTGTTCACTTAGAGGGTCCTAGGTCAGGGAATGTGGAAGACATTCTGTAGGTACTGCACACCTATGCTTCATTAAGCATACCACACAGCACTCCATCTCCCTCAAAGACTGCCACAACCCATACAGGAGTTCTTCACTTTTCCAGATAAGGAAAGTCAAGTCCAGAGAAGTTAAAAGAGCAGCCTAAGGTCAACCTAAACTATAGGTAGAACAGAAACTACGAGTTGCTTGCTTTCTCTTTACCTCTCCAGATGAGGTCATTAGTTAGAAACAGGGAGCAATTTGGGGAAATGGTAGTGAAATTTTACCCTGTCTTGAAGCCCAGAACATGGGGCCTTTTAGAGGCCCCTTATAGAAGACCCTTGCCTTTATCACATTTTCCTGGTACTGCTCGGGTGTGGCTGGACATAAAGTGGGAAGGGCCAGACAGAACAACATGGGTACCTCTGGCCTGGTACCAACTCATTCTATCATCACTTATTTCATGAATCTGGCTTCCTGGGAGAAACTGTGTGTTCCTTAAGAGCCAGGCTGTCTGTGTCAATGCTAGAACTACCTTAAAGTGAGCATAATGAGATACCCCTTGCTCACACACCACTTCTATAAGTCCTACAGCTCATACAAATGAACTCTTCCTCCAAGCCCTCAGGTGAGTCAGCCCAGCCTTGCAAGGAAAAATCTGGAAGAGGGGCTCTGAGGTGGCCTGTAGAACCTGCCAGCCAAGCTATCAATCCGTCAAATGGACAGCAGCAGAATGAGGCAGGGTAGAGGGAAACAGTAATCTTTCTTTGCTCACTTCCAAAGAGCTGATGATGACTTTATCCTGCATGCTATTGTCCTGGGAAGTAATTGTGTGCTCTTGGGGAGAAACTGAGGCCCCCACACTGCTACACTCTCAGCTTTGGCCAAATGAGAAGGAAAAGGCTCTTCTATCAGCATCACCCTGAGTTGGGCCTTGGGTGGCCTGGGGCCCTGGGTGGAAGATCTGGGTAGGCCCAGGGAAGAAACAATGTTTTGAGCAAAGGCCATAGCTGCCTTGAAAGCTTTAGGTGTCCCTGGAGGTTGAAGGTCAGGGATTAGTTCTGCTAATGATGAAAATAATAACCACATTTCAATGAATCTAAGAAGCTATTGATTACAGGACGTACCCCAATTTCAGATATTGAAATATGAAAAAAAAGAGTGCATTGTGGAATCAATTAAATATATAAACATGGACAACTTTTATAGAATATTTACCACGAGCCATACACTACACTAAGAGCATATATCTTATTCTCAAAAAAAAAAAAAATTCCTATGAGATCTCCATCTTACAGAATCTTACAGATACTCTAAGAGGCTAGATCACTTACTCTTACCTCACACAGTAAGGATGAAGCTAGGATTTGAACATAGAACTGCCAAATTCCAAAATCTTATGCATCTATCACTACTCCATGGGGCCATACTTGAATTGCTAAGGGCTAGGGATCCTTCTCTCCTCCTAAAGACTGTGTTCTAAAGGATCAGTCATTCTAACATTCTAGTGCCTAGAACCTAACCTGAAGCATTTTTTTTTAAGCTGTAGATGGACACAGTATTTTTATTTATTTTTATATGGTGCTGAGGATCAAACCCAGTGCCTCACACATACTAGTCAAGTGTTCTACCACTGAGCTACAACTACAGCCCTAACTTGAAGCATTTTAAGAGTTAGCTTAAGATACCTATTGGCACTATTGGGCAGAGGTTGCTGCTGGGGTGGAACCTCAGCTCCAGCCCTGAGCAGTGCTATCCTGTTCTAAGAACTCCTTACCCTAAGGATTATCCACAGGCTAAAGAGAAAGGAGGTTCCTTGTAGACCTCTACTACTTAAGAACTTGCACTGTTTTTGTGCCCTCTCAGGATCAAGTCAAAACTCCTTGGTATGGCTTACAGAATCCTCTGCCACCTGGTCTTGACAGCTTCTCCAGCTTCATCCTATAGCACAGCCTGCCGTCAGGGGTCTGAGGCAGATTCTACCCTAGTCAGTTCCAGATCCTCCTTGGTTCAGAGACCAAGGGCAGGTACTCTGTTTAGCATCACTGAGAAAATGTTTCTGAAGTACCACACACCCAGGGCAGCCCAAGTAGTGAGAAGAAACTGGATCTGAGGCTTAACACCTATGCTACTAGTTGTGAGACCTGGGGCAGACTATTTCCCACCACTGAGAAATCTGTTTCCTCATCTGAGAACATGGATAGTAATCCTCCCTGCTTCTGGGGGAATTATGAGGATCCAGCAAGAGAGTGAGATAATACTTTTAGAAACTACCAACACTGACAGGCACAGAACATGCACTTAGAGCATGCCAGGCCCAAGAAGAGATGTGGGGCAGGTGAAGAGATTAGATAGGACTGTTTCCACCACAGAATTCTCAGGCCTTGAATCAGGCCCCAGCTCTGCTGAGCCCCATCTATGTTCCCTGGAGTCTGCTGCCATATCCCTGGGCACTCCCCATTCCCAACCAGGAGGCAGGGTAAGAAGGTCAGTGAAACACGTACTGCCGCAGAGGTCTCCGAAGATGTAGTAGCACTGTTCAGAGAAGGTGATCTTATTGACAGTGTGGCGGATGAAGCCAGCTTTCAGCAGGTTGCTGGCATACTTGCGGGCCTCCCGCCGGTCAGTGAAGCCTTCGACATTGTGGTATAGCCAGTCTACCACATCTGAGCCTGAGGATAAGGCTGCCAGTTGATTGGGAGGCCCATCTGATTTGGGTTCAGCTGGCCTCATAGCTTCTATGAGGCTGGGGCTGGTTCCAGCTCAAAGGAGTGGCCCAAAGGAGTTATTGAGTCCCCCACCCCTGGCCTGCCCTGTCTGATCATTTCCCACCCAATCCTTCATCCCTCCATGGGGCTTTCTCACCGATAAAAGCGTTAGGAATGGTAATCTTGAGCCACATGCGATCTCGGACCTCCAACCCTGATTCAGGGGAGGCCATGGCTTTTACGATGGCAGCCATGTCACTGTGGATGGACAGATGGAAGTCGTCCAGGCCTGGGGATGGGAGGCAGAATGGTGAGGCAGAAAGGGGCTTTGGAGTTAGGTAAATAAGAATTTGCATTCCGGCTATACCAAACAATAATTACAGATCAATCCTGGACAAATTACTAATTTCTTGGACACTCAGTTTTCTCTTCCATAAAAATGGGGATTTTTAATATCTATTTACAAGGATATTTGAGTTCAGTTACATAAAGGAAGGTACTTAGCACAATGCCTACATGTATAATAATAAAAATGGCACCCATTTAGTAAGCCATAATGCTTACTTTATGCCACATACCAATGGTGCTTCACTTATAGCTTCTTATTGAACCCATAGGAACCTGGTAAAGTATATATTAATAGTCCCATTTTACAAGAGGAAACTGAGGTTCCCTGGGTGCTCAATGCAGATTCAGAAGCAAACAATATTTAGTGAAGATCTATAAAGTGCCCACTGGGAGAAATCGCAGTGTGAGGTAACTGGAATGAGTGGCGTCCCCTCTCTGGTCCTCCTGGGTGCTTACGTTGCCCCTCATCAGTCCTCCCACTTGGCTCTGTCTGCTGCCCAGAGAACAGGGTTAGACACTCACGCTCTGTGTCAGGGATGGAGCTGGTGATGGAGGAGCTGGTGGAGGTGATTGTGCTCAGGGAGGGGCTCATGCCATAGGCAGGGAAGGTGCCCGTCATGGCTGCAGTGTGAGAGACCCAGGCCGCAGGGTCAATGGGCCGGATGGGCTCACCTGCAGGGAGGATGAGGAGTCACAGGCTGCTCACCCTGACCACTTCTGGGCCCAACAGGCAGGTGTGGGGGTTCAGGAAACATAGCAGAAATGAGGGAAAGGGCTCACAGATGCTCGATATCAGCTTTAAGAATGAGCTCCCCCCACATCTACTCACTCCTGGGTAATGTGAAGCAACCACGTGGACTTGGGTCCCAGCACTTGGCTACAGTCAGGGTAATGGGCCTGAAAACAAAGATTGAGGGTAGAATTTGTGGAGGCTAGATCAAGCCTCTTGCATGATAACCAGAAATGTCTACCCCATCCTCCCCAGTGCTCTATTCCATTCATACCCTGGTTTGTGCACAATCTCCCGTAGTACCCGAACTGCATCGTCATTACTCATGTTCTCAAAGTTGATCTCATTTACCTAAGAAAGAGGACCAGGAGTTGGGTAATAGACTATGCAGGGGAGAGGGGCAGGGGAGCTGAGTTTGTGGGTCAGGAAGTCTTCCTCCAGAGGGCAGGGACTCCTCCCAACCCTCTATCCACACCACCACCCAGGGTGGGCAGTGATACCTGTAACAGCATATCTCCTGGTTCGATGCGTCCATCAGCAGCCACAGCCCCACCTTTCATGATAGAGCCAATGTAGATGCCTCCGTCACCACGCTCATTGCTTTGGCCCACAATGGAGATGCCCAAGAAGTTATACTTCTCTACAGGAAGTAATTTAACAGCTTGAGAGGGGCAAGAGTCCTATCCAAATTACCAATACCTTATTAGAACAGGGTGGAAAGGGACAAAAACTGACATGTACTAAACCCAAATCAGGCACTGTATATATAGTGCACTTACCCATGATTTCATTCAGTCTTTGCTGGCTGTGGTGCAGAGACTCTTTGTCTCATTTTATAGATCACGCAAGTGAAGTTTAGTGAATTTAAGTGACTTTTCTAAGCCAATAACTGGCAGAATTCAAACTCAGATTTCTAAGTTCTCAAATTGGGTTCTTTTCACTACATCCAGCTGTCTCCTTTATACAGTCTGTTGGAACCAGGTGTGGCGGTACACACCTGTAATCCCTAGTTACTTGGAAGGCTGAGGCAGGAGAATCTCAAGTTCAAGACCAGCCTCAGCAATTCAGTGAGACCTGGGGATATAGCTCAGTGGTAGAGCACTTGCCTGGCATACATCAGGGTTCATTTCCCAAGACCACAACCAAAAGCAGGGGGGGAAAACAAAGAATACCTAGGGCATAAACTAGAGAGCAAGGATGCAATGACTAAAGATGGCAAGGGGCAGGAAACCCAGAAACCACTTGCTCCAAGAAGGCTTCCCTGGTGCCATTTCTGCTTCCACAGCTCTCTGTGCTTATATCTGTCATAGCTCTGACCATGAGGTACTGAAGTGATCTGTGTTAAGTTTCAGCTAATGTTTATACAAGAGAACTCTTTGAGGATAAAGTTCAAATCTTGTGTCTCCCAGAATCCCTCATGCCTGCCCAGTGTCTGCATACAGTAGGTGCTCAAGAGTATTGTTTCCCCAGACTCACCCATGTTGAGAGTAACTGTGATGATGTTGAGAGACATGGTAGAGTCTGTGATGCTGCTGAAGGATGAGGACTGGAAGAGACAGAGGCCCTGAGCTGCAGGTGGGGGTGGCAGGAACTCACTGTTCCTACCTGGTTCCTCCTCAGCACTACTCCCCTCACCCTCTATGGTTCTAGATGCTGAACCAAAGGGAAGGATTCTGAGGAAGAACAAGCTGAACCTGCCTGGAAAGGGCTCACAATCTGCTCCCACCCATCCTGAGCATCCCAGGCCCCATACCCGCTCAATCCGTGAGACCTTCTGCTTCCGCCGCCGCCGCTTGTGTCTTCTCATCAGGCGTGAGGCACTGCTCTGTTCTGTGGAGCTGCTGAACCTGTGGGGCCCACAGTCGTTCCCCACCAGGCTGGCCCAGCCCTGCTCTACAAGAGGCACTGCAGGGCCCAGGTGCCCAACACAAAGCCCACATCCCTCCCAGGAGCCAGTATCCTCAGGGTTTAGGGCTCCTTGGGGTCACCTGCCCCACAGTACCCATGAAACTAAAGCCCCACCTGCTGGTAGAATCCTCCTCATCTGAATCAAAGAAGCTGGTAGTCTCCAGCTCACTGCTCATAAGGGTGGACGAGCTATCATAACCACCAGGCTCTCGCCGCCGCTCCCCCTTTGCAGTTCCATTTAGCCGGGTTGCTGCAGGAGATGGAGGCAGCTGCGTTCACACTATGCTTAGTTCAGGGGAAAACAGGTGAGAGGCGCAGGCCAGAGGCTACTCTGGGGCTAGGCATAGCCAGAGCTCAGGACACAGGACAGAGAGGTGGGAATGGAAAGATGTGGAAAAGGAGTAGGGGTGGGGAAGGCAATCCTATTTGGGAAGACACACCATGCTCTGGGCCATCCCTCCGACGTGGCCGCTCCCGCTGGGCAGATACCAAGGAATCTGTCTCTGTGTCATTGTCCAGGTTCTCCTGGCTGCCCCCACCAGCATGAGGGCTGCAGGGAAGAGAGGACTTGGTAGAGAAGAGGGCAGGCTGGGGGTTCCCTCCCCCAGCCCTGGGCTGAGCTGATGCAGTCCTCTCCCATGGGCCCTCCCCACACTCGGCTCGTACTCACTGGAAGGATGGGGGTCGGGAGTCCCCGATTCCTCCTGTGCGCTCCATAGGTGGTGGCAGCTCTGATGGGTTATCAGCACAGAAGGGGGCTGGCTCTGGGTGTGAGCCCTCAGCTGACACCAGCTGATGGGGAGACATTGAGTGAGATCTATGTGACAGGTTGCACCAGGGAGATGGGGATGGGGAATTGGCTTCTGGCAGGGCATAAAGGCCTGGGAGAATGAAGCAGGGAGAAGAGACAGGACTATGCAAGGGCAGCTGAGGTGAGGAGTGGCCCCAGAACTAAGTTGAGGGGGCTCTTGGAGGCATGGGTTGCTCAAGCAGAGTGGGGGATGGAGAAAAGGGTCGGTGGTCCCAGGCAGCGGTCGCCAGGTAACAGCAGGTATCTTACTGGCATAGGAGATATTTTTATCTCCACATGTGTTTCTGTCTCTTCCCTTCATCCCTTCCCACCACTCCCACTTTTCATTAAAGTTGAGAAAGCTGGGGTGAGAAATAGTTCAGTTAGAAAACTAAAGGAAAATTCAGATACTGAAGCCTAAAACTCCCAGCTACCATCTCAGTGATACCTTCCCTCCCTCAACCCAGCACAGGCATGCAGGAAGATAGAGACTGAGGCCTCCTTACCCAGGACACCACCCGGCCATTGAAGCAGGGTAGCTTAGCATTGTCATCTGAGATCTCCTCCTTCACAACTCTGTAGGGAAAGAGGGATGTCAGAGAGAACTTTCTGGCACGTACATGGAAGGTCCTCGCAATCCCAGTTGTACTCCATCCTAAACCGTGATTTAAGCTACCAGTATAAGACTGTTCAAATGGGAATAAGGGAGGTGACCCAGGGACATCTCTTTAGCACCACCAGGAAGACACCAGCTCTGTTTGGGCCAGCTATCTTTCTGGGGCATCCTCTAAGTCATTAGAGATCATGCCATTTCCTATAACCCCCAAAGTGCTTTACCCAACCTCAATGTGGCTTCCCTGGGCTGGACTTTCTCTTTTCCTCAGAGTCCCAAATTGGGAAAAAGGACACAATTATTGTGCTGGTGTTGTGGCTCAGTGGTAGAATGCTCGCCTAGTATGTGTGAGGCCCTGGGTTCACTCCTCAGCACCACATAAAAATAAATAAATATAGGTATTGTGTCCATCTTCAACTAAAAAATATTTTTTAAAAAAGGACATAATTGGGGGCTGGGGATATGGCTTGTTGGTAGAGTGCTTGCCTTGCATGCACAAGGCCCTGGGTTCAATCCCCAGCACCACAGGTGGTAGTGCGCACAGTGGTAGTGCGCTTGCCAAATATGTGTGATGCCAAATATGCATGAGGCACTGGCTTGGATCCCCATCAACACATTAAAAAATATACATAAATAAAGTAAAGGTGTTGTGACCACTACAACCAAATAAAAAAATATAAAATTAAATTAAACAAACAAACAAACAAAAAGGATACAATTATTACTGATCTTCAATTTACAACTTGGAATCCTGACATTGTTCTGGGAGGTATGGACAAGGAGATTAGGAAATTAAGAAATAAGGGGAGGTGTTTACTAAACATCTTCCATATACCATCAAGATAACTAATAGTAACAACTACTCTCATTTATTAAGCAAGCATAATAGGCTGAGCATTTTGCTAGGTGCTTTACTTATATCATTTCATCTAATACTGCAATGCTATGAGGTTGGGGCAGATGGGAAACCAGGTTCAATATGTTCAGTAATTCACCTAAACTTACACTACTAGTACACTAAGAGCTCACATTTGAACCTTGGTCAGCCTGACTCTAAAGTCTCTATTCTTACCTATTATACCAGCTTCTATCTTTATATTGAGAACAATATAATCTTCACATCAATCGTATATGTAGACAATATGATCCATATTTCATGAATAAGGAAACTGACAGACATTCAGTGTCTTATCCAGGGTCATGAAGCTCATGGATGTTAGAGCTGGAATTCAATCACAGGCTCATTTGATACTAAACCTACACTCTTCCCACTGTATTCTTTCCTGTGCAATGATACATTTATACATTCTTTCCTGTGCAATGATAAAGGTAGCATGGGTTTATGAGGAGGTAGGTGGTGAGGGGACACTGAAATGGGGCATGCAGGGTATGGGATGTGGTCATGGCTTGTAGTTTGGTTTGAGGAACGTGGTGAGGTAAGAAGTCAAACACTGGCTAGGTTTGGGGCAGGGAAGAGAATGGAAAAGTTTGAGGACTGTCAAGACTGTCAACACATGGTACATTTGAGCAGAGAGGGATGACAGCGAGGGAGGAGGCTGGGAAGACCACTCCTCCCTCATTCTTAGAGCAGCTTCTGCCTAGAGTCAGGAACATGCTTGGCTCCTTACGATGCTCACATTCTTGGACTCAAAGCCAAGTTCCCAAGCCAAGCCTGCCCTCTTCCCTCCCATCTAGCTCTGGCTCCCCACCATTTCCAACCCCACAGTGACCCTAAAAAACAGCTCAAATCATTATCCTCGGGTTCATGATGGCAGAGAGCCTAGAGACAAAATAGGCTGGAAAGAAGTGACAGAGAGGTAACCAATCTGGCCAGAGGATACCCCAAGCAGACTCACATGAGAGCCAAAGCTGAAAGGAAAAGGAGGTGCATGTGCATGGACTGTATGTCCTACTTTGGAGAGGGTCTCCCTGTGTGGGAAACTTTTGCTGAGTCTCCCCGACCTCCGCTAGCAGGCCCCACCACGGCTGCTCCACACTACAGATGTTTCCTCTCTTTCTGGGGGTCACCGACAGGTCGCCAAGGCTCTGCTGACTCACAATGATCAGCTGATCCTCAGCAGCCTTGAGGGACCTCAGACAGCCTGTACTCTTCTACCATAGAGCTGAATGGCTCAGGGTTCCATAGCACTCATGTACCCGCGCCCCACAGTCTCATTCTTTAACACCTGTCTCCCATCCCCCCATGGAGTCAGACAAATATACATTCAAATTTCCTCCCATCCTAACTTTTCCAAGGCTTTGACTTGTCCTAGTAAGTGGGATTCTTAAATGCATGGTCAGGCATATAATAAAACTAGTTACTAACTCTACCAACTTTTGGTGAGATTCACACTCTCTTTCTAACTAGGTGTAAGTTTTTAAAAGCAGGGACCAAACAAATCTTCTCATCATTCATCGTTCATCCAAATAAAAGGCTTTTGCTGAGCCAGGTGCAGTGGTGCATGCCTGTAACCCCAGCTACTCAGAAGGCTGAGGCAGGAGAATCACAAGTGCAGGCCCAGGATTGGCAACTTAGCAAGTCCCTGTCTCAAAATTAAAAAAAATTAAAAAGGGGTGGGGATGTTGCTCAGTGGTATAGCACCCCTGGGTTCCATCCTAGTATCACACGCACACTCAAGCTTTATCAAGAGCCCAGTGGGCTTTAGGTCCCGTGATACTACAGGACTGTATGAAGCACCAGGCCTGGAGCCTGCCTTAGACTCTGAGAGGTTACAACCCAGTGGGTAGATTTGGTAAGCATATTGCAAGAGGGGAGAAGTTAGAGCCTCAAAGCAACAGGTGTGTCTACTGGATAGACATCTGCTGAGTGTTACTTAGGTGTCAGAGACGGCTAGGAACTGGGTAGAGATGTAAGGATGAGGGATTTGAACCTAGAGAAGACAGGGGAAGAGTGTCCCAGGCAGAAGATCCTGAGACAGAGCAGTGGTGATATGGAGAGGAAGCAACACAGTTTCCTAACTTACTATGGTAGCCCCTCCCACAGCTCAAGGTCAGATTAGCAGCGGGGACCCCATTATTTATCTACCATCTCCTTAGTGCTGAAAATGTTTATCCTTCTTCCATTACTCCACATAAGAGTGCTGGGCCTACCGTGGGTTTGACAAACACTTGTGGAGGTCAGAAGGGACTTGGAGGGGTCCTCAGATCTCACATCCTAACCTCAGAGGGTAAGCCTGGAGAAGAGAGACTGTTGGTGGGACAGTCTTTCCATCCTGTCAGCAGAGGTCCCTAGTGTGGGCTCAATAAGTGGTAGCCCTATCCACCTCCCCAGTTTGCCAAATCCACCATCTCCCAGAAAAGGAGCATCTGTAAAATGGTGATAACAATCATATCTACAAAAAACCTGTGTGACTAAGGTTTTAGACTTTGGAGCCAGATTACCTTTGTCAGTAAAACTCTGTCACTTACTAGCTGTGTGACCTTGGGCAAGTTACTTAAGCATTCTGTGCTCTAATTTCCTCACTTGTGCCACCTATTTCATAGGGGTTTGTACCACTATTTCATAGGGCTATCATGAAGATTCTGTGAGTAAAGATTTGCAAAGCATTTAGATCAGTGTCTGGCACAGTGTAAGCACCATTTTTAAAAGTTTGAAAAATAAACACACTGTGTATACACTCCTTGGCTAGTTTTCTGTGACCAGATAGCCCTACCAGGTCTCCTCATTTACCCTTCTGGGGCTAAAATCGTTTAATCCATCAATGTCCTATTTTTCTACCACTGAGCTACATGTCCAGTTCATTTTCTTTTTTATTTTGAGATAAGGTCTTGCTAATTTAGGATGGCCTCTAACTTGCAATCCTCCTGCCTCAGCCTCCCCAGTTGGTGGGATTAGAGGCATGCACCACAATGCCCACTTTATTTTTAGCATTATTCTCAATCCTGTTAAAACAGTCAACTCTAATATCCTTTAAGGTTAAAACAGTCAACTCTAATATCCTTCAAGTACCATTGATGTATGCAAGATAACTTCAGGGGGTACATGATAAATATTGCTTAGATCAATGTTTACTTATAACAAAATTTAGAAAGAAATATAAACAGAAAATGAGATCTATGGTTGATTTTGTATTATTAGTGGGTCAAGCTTAGGAAAAAAAAAAGAGAGAGTTAACAGGAAATTTGAAGAACAATATTAAATAAACCGTAAGAGGATGTAATGAGTGCCCTCTAATAACTGCAGCTAGGTCTGGCTTAACAGAAGCCATGGGAGAGTGGGAGGCAGCACAGAATGGTCTGCTTAGAAGGCAGGGGCAAGATGGGGGATGTTGATACAGACCTTATTTCAATTTTCTTCAAGGCATTTGGTCCCAGCATAGAGGGCTCTGAATGACTTTCTCCCATCCTATACCCCAAGGCAGCATCAGTCCTTTCGGACCCTATTTTTTTCTGCCTGCCAAGCTGAAGTACCCACCTCCTGATCTCCAAAGCTTCCTGACTGATTTTCTTTACAGTCTTCCAATTAGGCATGTCTGCCTCAGACTGAAATCAGACAATCATCACCACACTAGGAGCCCCCACTCCAGGGTAGGAAGAACAACAGAACCAAGAATAGAAAGAAACTACCTAGTATACTCCCCACTGTACAAAGCACTTTCACACACATGATTTCATGGGTTCATCCAATTCTGAGTTCCAGGAGAGAAGGGGACAAAAAACATGCCAGGCAGCAGACAGAAGGTGCTTTACTCCCTGATGCCAGGAGGGCTTGGGTCTGGGGAGAAGAGCCAGGCTGAAGAACACTGGGGAGAAGAATATCTCCCCTGACTCAGCTCTGAGGCCTCAGCTGCAAAGAGCAATTCGGGCCTCAGGCTAGGGCTAAAGAGGCAGCCTTCAGGCCTGGAGGACCAAGGAGACCTTCCCAGTGGCCTCCAGGCCCAGCGCCCAGTTAGTGCAGGGCAGGCTAGTGTGGGGGCCTCCCCCTCCCCCAGTCCCCTGGGAGTTGGAGGGGGGGGGATCAGCCAGGCTCCCCCTCCCAGGCCAGCTGCTACAGAACCTTCCGGCTGCAACATTCCAACCCCTCTTAAAGGGGCAGTGGCTGCTTCCAAACTCTGCCTGTCCAAAGCCCTGCAGCTGGGCAGAGGGGAAGACCCCCACCAGCGAGAGGCACATGGAGAATGCCAAGAGGTTCTTCCTGGCGTTTCCACCCAGGCTCTAAGGCCCTTTCCAATGTCTCTCCCTGAGCCACCATCTGGAGGAAAAATTGGGAAGGAAGATCACCACCTGGATTAGTGAGGTCTCTTTCTCAGGGGCAGGCACTCTGCTCAGCCCACATCATCCCCATCAGCCCACATGGGCGGTAAATAAACATAGGTCTGCAGGCCCTAGCTTCCAGCCTGGCGGAGCACCCTCAACTCCCCTTTTCCCCAGTTCCCACACCATAGCCCTTGGATGCGGGACCAAATATGGCTCTGGGTTGTGGAGCTGAAAAGATAGGGAAGGCAAGCCGGAGCCAAATACCCCAAAACTATGTTAAAAAGGAGGCTCCCTGGAAGGAGGAGGGTTGAAGACTCTGGAACTGGGTGGAGGGGGGGTGTGTCTGTCTATGTGGGCCACTGGCCTCTAGGGAGGTGAGGGGCTTGACTGGCAGGAACTAAATTGCTTTGGGGGCCTCGGACGACGCTTCCCACACCCGAGAGGAGAATTAGGAGTCTCTAAAGGACTGGAATTCCAACCCCCCAAAAGCAGAGAGGAGCTCCAATGGATCGAGTCGCCTCTTTGCAGCGAGTGGGGATAGAAGTCAACATAGCCAGGGAAGTCCAAACTGGCCGCGTCGGCCCCTGGAAGCCGAGCGCCGGGGCTCCCCGGAGGCTAGGCCAGGGCCGTCCTCACCCGAAATCATCGTCCATAGACTTGAAGAAGAACTTGTAGCTGGGTCGCTGCAGAACGCCCTTAAAGTCCGCCAAGGTGACGCGCTCGGCGGGCAGGGGCAGCTTCACCAGGTACGGCGTCTCCTGCCCGTCCAGGTGGTAGATGATCTTGGTCTCGCCC